CTTAGGCACCCAATGAAATCTTTCAAAGGTTTGTTAGTCCCTGGACTTTTTGACTGCACCTAAATCAATATTTTTGCGTGGTTGGGTAAGACCCTCAATATAACCTTCATCAAAATTGCAGGCAACCACAGAAGCCGCGAAGAAAGCATCGACTGAGACGACTGAAGAGAGCACCATTGCTGAGAAGAGCGAGACGGAGACTGAGCCCCAACCGGCCGAGACGACGCCAGCGCCGCCCTTGCGGGGACTGGACGCACTATTCGCGAGGAGGCGCGCGGCGGGGGGCATCGGGGCCCGCCCCGCGCGCCCCGCCAGGGGCGCCCGCTACCCCAAATAAATATTAACCCCCAACATAACTGGTAAACACTCAATGACTTGGTGTACCGCTCATAGACATTTCCCATCAAATTAATGTTCAATTTTTAAATTTTATTTAGTCAAGCAATATTAATAAGGTTTGATGACGACGAACGATTTTTTTTCTGGTCAAACTGTATGTCCTGAAATATCAATAACACTAGCTAGGCTTCATTTAAATGCCTACAGGAACTGCAATGGTTAGATTTCTTTGCCATCATATCACCAAACATTAAAAGTATTTTTTTTAACTAAACAGTTTGTGAACGGTACACTATGATCATTACTTTAGTCAATTTACTCCCCAAATTGTCTAGACTAGTATTTCATCTACTATCTATATTTGTCATTTTCAATAGTTTACAGTATCTGTAATTAATTAGGTACCTACTTCTGTAAGTTTTATTTTTCCATATTTTACGTCTTTTCGTTTAGTGGTGTCCTATAACTATTTGATTACTTTTTTATACTCTCTGACTTTAAATTTATATTAATGTACATATTAGTAGTTAATAATACTTGTTACAATTGCGTTTTTGAGATTTGTTTCCAAAAGCCGATTTTAATCATTGTTTCTCATGACACTTCAAATCTATTTCACCAAAGTTTCAGTACATACGTGTAACATCGACACACATCGAGTGTCCATTAAATTTATAGGTAAAACGTAAAAATGTATTATACTAAGTGCTTTACTAGAGCTTCAGTTATGTCCTTTCAAGTTATCTTCAGCAAAGTTCGGCGTTAGAATCTCAATTTCAACCTGAAGTCACCAAAATAACTTAGAATTTCAAAAAAATTGCCTGGCATTTGGTCATTCGGCCTTACATTAAGTTTACTTTTAAGTAGATATTTGGTAATGTTTAGGTATGTATGGATTAAAAATTATACTCATTATTTCTCTATTTATTCTGTTAAGAGGAACTTGTAGGGCCAAGTGAGGAAGACGTTTCTTTAGTTCCATCACCGACCAACGATAGGACTGTCCAGCCGAAGCACTGAATGCAAGTGCCATCGTGATATGTGTTGTATCTTTCGTAAGTGTGATAATAAATATAATATTAAGATAATAAATTGACGTTTTATTAATTTCCCATACTTATTCCAAGCCCAAATCTACTATATACCTAAAAATAAGTCGGGTTTTCCTTTCTGACGCTATAACTCCCTGAACGCACGAACCGATTTCCACGGTTTTGCATTTGTTGAAAGTCTCGGGCTCCGTGAGGTTTATAGCAAAGAAAATTCAGGAAAATTTAACAAACGAAATTCCACGCGGGCGATGCCGCGGGCGGAAAGCTAGTCATCTTTAAAAGTAACACTGCCTATACCAATGATAGTGCTAAAATTTCTAAAAGTAAGTAAGTATATCACTTGCCTATTGGAGATAACTAAAACCTTGATCTGGTAAAATGTGGTTATTAGAAGACTACGAACCAGTTTGCAACCGGTATATCGGATCGGTAGGTGACAGCGACAACAGCAGATAGAGTCATAGCAACATATTCATAAATATTATTATATTCATATTAAATTGTTTTCTTTTATGATAAACGATAATGATAAACCAATGTAACTGACAACTAGATTTCGATATTGCGCATATCAAAGTTGTTGCATCACCAAAATCACCCTCTTCGGCTTGATCAATATTTTTTAAACTTATGGCAGATTTTTCAACCATCGAATAACATAATGAATTATCTTCCAACTGAAGAATAGGTAAAATTGTCATTTTGTCGTATTTCCCATACAGAACTGTCAATAGGCATTTTCTTTTACTTTTCAGTTAAAAGTTATTCGATGACTGAAATATGCCCTCAGGAAAATGTTACTTGAAGCGTTTGAGTAAATGACTAGCTGACATCCCAATGTTAAACTGGTAAGTTTTCCAAGCCTAGTGATTCCCGTAACTGCACTGAAATACCAGGGATAGCAGGTTCGGTTTATTCCCGTTGTCCCCACCAGTGGAGGCAACGGGAATTTAAATAAATGATCCCACTAGTGGGAATGAATTTTAGTGGGAAACCGGAATAAACCGCAGCTCAGGTTGAATCCTCGCACTATAAGACACATACCTATGTATCTTGTCTGCATGAACATGAACAGCTCTGTTATTAGTCTGGGTGTTTGCTATGTTGAAAAGTAGGTAACTTATATTAACCAACTAAAGCTGAGTTGCACCACCTAACTTTGGCCGTAACTTTGACGATAACCGGTGCTTTTTGTATGGATTTTGACAGATTTTTGACGTTTGTTATAGTCAAAGTAAGATGGTGCTGTAACTCAACCTAAAGAAGTGTAAAGCTGTTTTATAAGCGTTGTCTATAGCAAGTTCAGGGAAGATTTATTTTACAAAGCTAATAATAAAAAAAAATGATAGAGATATTAAACACTGATTGTCCAGAAAATAATTATATGCTTTGATTGGAAGTCCGATTCACCCAAGTCAAGACGTTCTCTTAGAGCTTAAAAAATTCGTTACAATTCTTATGATATTATAATACCAATATTAGATAAAACCCCTATGAGAGTCAGAATGAGAACCTAACTGCTTCAAAGACTGGTCTTTTTCTGAAAACCCTGTAGGTACCTATATCGTAATTCCATAGAACTTGTTAATTTGTTATAGTACATTGTGTTTATGAGCTCCATGATTGGAGGGAAACCTGTAATTAGTAAGTAATAATAAGTAATTTAAGATTCTTTATCAAATTAAATGGGCATAACTTGATTTCGATAAAAACACAGCATTTCAAGACAGCATAGTAGTACGAGAGCCCTCGACCAAAACCATGTGTCATAGCAATACGGCAAAAACCCTATAAAATCGTTAGATTGTATGATTCTGAACCCGACTAGGTGTGTAGTAACGGTCGAAAGTGTAGCAACTGAGTGGGAGGCCATTTCTGCTGTGTCAAAAAAAAAAGACAGTCGGTATTATACGTCTGATAGTGAAAATGTACATAGATTTTATAATTGTAACGTAAATGCGCCTATTACCGCCAGTTTAAGCTGACTTCGGATAAACGTTAGAAAATTAGATATAAGACGTGGTGATAGAAAAGACACTTTAATTTATTTATAACAATGATGAAGTAATCTTTGAATTCAAGTAGTAACAATGAGTATTCAATCACACAATAATTAATAAATAGCAATTTAATCTGAATAAGCAGTTGTTTCTATTACCGACCTATAGACGAGGTGTGTTTCTATTAACGTTTTTTCTGTTTCTATTACCGACCGCTAAGAGTAGCATTCGGATCAAGACGACCGCGACGCGAGACCGCGACTCGAGACCGCGACAGGTCATAGCAATACGGCAAAAACCCTATAAAATCGTTAGATTGTATGATTCTGAACCCGACTAGGTGTGTAGTAACGGTCGAAAGTGTAGCAACTGAGTGGGAGGCCATTTCTGCTGTGTCAAAAAAAAAAGACAGTCGGTATTATAGCAATACGTCTGATAGTGAAAATGTACATAGATTTTATAATTGTATTACGAAAAAGTTTGTTTTCAGACATTTTGCGCGTAGCATATAGCCTGTGCGCATTTTTGAAAATGTCAACAAATTTAGCCGACCTGTATCATAGCAATACGGATAATTATTTTTTTTAACTTTTCGTATTGCTGCCATGATTACCAAAAACCTGTTTTCAGACACTTTAAGTGTATCAAAAAGTTGTATGATAGAGAAGGTGCTACACTTAATTTGTCTGATATAAATTTTTTGCACATGTGGACAACTTATTTTATCATGTCCAACAATTTTCAGACATATTGCTATGATACCGATCGGTAAAATTTGTTAACATTTTCAAAACGGTCTCAAAATTTAATGCGTTCACATTTCCGTCTGAAAATTGTTTTGTTCGCATCAAATAACCAAAATTTACTAATAAAAAAGATTTTCAGACGTATTGCTATGAGACATTTTTTTTGTCTCATTTTTAATTCTTTTAAGTGATTTTACGGGTTTGCGCTACACCACTAACGTCTGAAAATAATGTTTCCGGTATCTCAGAACTATCATTCAACTACAGTCTGCAAATCAGACATATTGCTATGATGCAGTTCGGTAAAATTCTTTGACAATTTTGAAAATTCGGTCAGATCAAACGCTACGCGGAAAATGTCTGATATTGGTATTTTCGAGTTCAGGATAATCGTATCTATCGATTTTATGCGGTTTTGGCCGTATTGCTATGAGACAAAAATTTTGGTCGTGGGCTCTCGTACTATACATAGATAGAATTCGAAACTATAAATTAAAGAAACGTCAAAATTTTAAAATAAACTGAAATGAAATGATTTTTGTAAAGTTTTTTGTGTGTGTACCAAACAAGTACAGGCAGTGAATGAACAAGTTTTAATTAGTGTTATTAAGCCGTTACGAACGACTCAGTTACCTACAATGTCTTAACTTGTTATGTAGGGGAAAAACACTGTATTGTCAGTATCGATAGCAGAATGTGAGAAGTGAGAAGACAATAATTGTTATTTTTTAAATCATGTATTTACAAATTCTGACGTAACTGTAGGTCAACGTACACTGTGTCATTGTGGCACTAATGCACACGGGTTGAGGCGAGATCAATTGTTGTAGGATTTTGAATTTTAACTGTTCGTGATAAGGACTCGATTGATTGCTGTGGATTATTGTGTGCGCGTTGATAAGTGGTCTGTCTGCTGGGCGGTGCGCAAGCGCTGCTTGTTAAATGTTTACCGGCGACGCGCGCTCAGTCAGTCACTATCACTTCGCGGAGACGTCCGTACTCTGAGCTTCACAAAACAAAATATAACTGTAAGTACGAAATTGTATATTACACCATCCTCACTTGAGAACTGCTTGATCAAGTTAAAGAAAAATTAAAGAGAATCTGTGATTGAATACAGAGTTAGCTTCAATTTAAGATAACTTGTTTAATCAATCAGATTCCTTTATACGGCACAGGAGTGGAAGGACTTGGTTTATAAATTGCCTCGAGTACGAAACTGGTTTAGTGAGCCTTACAAGCGTATCTTGAGCCAACCTGGCTGGAGAGATGATAACCGAAGGTGGCCGGATATGTCATAATGTCATGGTTAAGTAATTAGATAATTAGTATACTATTTAACTACTATGCCTACCTTCTATGAATGAATGTTTGTTCAAGCACGTTTTCATTCATGACTAAATACCTACATATTAAACAGAACAAACGATTCTTTATATGTACTTGGTAAGCTTTGAGATTATATAATACTAACCATCCGCCCGCGGCTTTGCCCGCGTGGAATTTTGTCTGCCACAGAAAAACTTTATCGCGCGCGTCCCTGTTTCAAAAACCGGGATAAAAACTATCATAATATGTCCTTTCCTGGGACTCAAACTATCTCTATGCCAAATTTCATCAAAATCGATTCAGTGGTTTAGACGTAAAAATTACCATGGGTGCTCTTAAGTGGTTGTACTGCTTGCTTTAGTTCCTTCATCTGCTCTGTCTTTTCATATCAAAAATTGTGTTTACAGCAGCTAACATGGTGCTGGACATCAAGTCAGTTCTGGTCGTGGACGGAGTGGGCGCCAACTGCGCAGAAATCCTCAAATCCCACGGCATCAGCGTTACAACCAAAGCCAAGATCACAAAGGAAGAACTGCTCAAAGAAATACCGGTAAGTAAGAATACTCAACTCTTCTGATGCTCTTTGATAATAATATTCTCAGCATACTTAGTCCCGGTCCCGTTAGCCCCTCGTACTAAGCTAAATCACAGTATAATAATGAGTGTTGCTAAATACTTGTGTCACGAGTGGGCTCACTACAACAGTGGAGAGTCAGCGGTTTAAAGACACGTTCCTCAGATAACGAGTCGGCGAGTCCGACCCCTTCATCTTTCGGCTATCGTGGCTTCAAAAAATACTGTCCCGAAGCAGTGGTAGCTTGTAGCATCCATACACGTACCGGCAAGTGCAGGCATCCACCCACAAGGTGGACAGATGTCGCTAGATGCAGGCTGCTGCTACCATCTGCTACCAACCGGACAATCTAAAAGTCATTGGGGGAGGCCTATGTAATATTCAGCAGTGGACGACCGTTGCTAAAATGATGATGATGAAGTTATAAGCAATCTGACCTCATCCGGTTGAATTTAGGAAGCAGTATTCTGCTTTTGGTAGGAAACAGAGTGTGTTGCTAGTAATATCATACCCATTACGACATAAGATCTCACTGCTAAAGCTGGATTGGACGTGTCTTGGACTATTACATACTTGGCGTCTATCGATGGAAAATGAAGAACTTAATTCTTCAAAGGAGTTCTAAATATTTTATCCTCATTACATAAGATGAGATTACCTATCATCAGTAAGGAAGTACATAGTTGGAGACCAAAGACATGATTTTGTTGAGTACGGAATTGTTTTGTAAAAAAAAGGTGATCAGATAGATAAACCCTAAGTCATTAGACCATATCAGTAGGCCGACTCACAAACCAAATAAGGAAACTTTTAGAAGAAAATGTTTAAATAAATCCCCTGTCTAATTTAAGAATGGTTGTTACACTATCTGTTTTGATAAGCACCGGAGCACTACCTACCAATAATTTCATCATGTCCCAACTGTTATTGTTCGTTATCAATTTGTTTTGACCGGCGAATGTCATTGCATGTCTCATTTCATCATTGGTTTTATTTAATAGCGTTTATCTGAACAGTCTCTTACATTGTTTAGACTATGGGACATCGTAAATATGATTACAATACAATACAAAGCATGTACCTATGTACCGAGAAGAAAACAGAAACTGCACCTGCTTACATACCTTCACGTTGTATAGCTATTACCCTTCAATTGTTAATGTTAATTCCACACAATGGATCCCAGCAATACCTAGTTAGTATTAACAAACAGGTCGATATTTAAGATTTGATCACATTTCACAAACAACATAGTAATTATTTTATTTTTAGCTCCCATTACTGATATTATATCGGCGATAAATTGTTGTTAGGTGATTGTCAGATAGGCTATATCGACACTTGAGCGCTTTTTGACGAAAACATCAAATATTTCTCGTAAATAACACACTCGTGTTAGTCATTAAACTTGTTACCAACATTATAAAGTTTAAAGAATAAATATTTAGGTCTTAGATCTTTAATGTGCTTAACATTTAACGAATGTATCATTCATACGTAAGTACCCAACGTTAGTTGATCCTGAAATGTTACGCACATTTAAGTTTTCATAATGATCTTAGTGAGACGCAGAAGTAGTTTTATGAAAATTAAAGGATTTGTTTGATTGGAATGTAACATGAATTGTGGCTGGGGCTCTCCAGATGAAACTTTAGAAAAGGCAGACAATGAAATTATTGTCATAGGTACTTATTGATGTAAGAAGTACATAATACCAAACTGCATAAATTCCCAAAGAAAACCTGAATAACAAGGTACAATACCTACTTAGTAGAGATCTTATTTTTTCCAGAACCATGAGGCTTTGGTAGTAAGGTCGGCATCCCAAGTGACGAAGGAAGTTCTGGCGGCGGGCACCAAGCTGAAGGTGGTGGGTCGCGCCGGCGCGGGCGTCGACAACATCGACGTGCCAGCCGCAAGCCAGAAGGGAGTTGGTGTTATCAAGCAAGTACCCTTTCTATGGAAATTAAACTCTATCTGATAGTACCTCTTATCCTTCTGAAACCAGCTTCAGACCTTCAGACAAGCATCTTTAATCAGATGATTGGGAATTTTAACTCTTATCTGGTAGTACAAGTTATACCTATGCTTCTGAAAAATTCTCATCTTCAGCCAATGCCCATGAATCTAAACATATGGTTTGTATACCGATATTACCAACTACCTACGATATATATTGTTGTTTACTATCAAGTAATGCTGTCCAATTATTGTAAGAACTTCCGCCGCGTTTGCGAACTGTAACCTAACCCTCTGCTTCTTTATAAATTCCTGCTTCCTATCATCTTCTTCTTTTCTATCTATGTAAGATAACGATACATTGAAGTGTTAAAACTTCAATGTAATTTCATTAGTTAAAAAAGCAAATATCCAGGTCCACCCATTCCAGCCAGCTCAAAGAATTCCAATATATGTATTTTTCGATTCAAATTGATCCATAATAGATCAAAATCCCTGAACGTGATATCCACGTTGAGTATCATTGGTAGACCTAATCCTGAGCATTAGTTAAGTATTGACTTGTTTCCCAATTACATTTTTTGAGAACTTGAACCGTGATTGTTGACAGTGCCCCTGGAGCCAACGCGTTGAGCGCGTGCGAGCTGACATGCGCCTTGACCCTAGCTTTGGCGCGGCACGTGGCGCCGGCCGCCTCTGCCCTGAAGGCCGGTCGCTGGGACCGCGCTCTCTACACCGGCTCAGAGGTCAACGGGAAGACCCTCGCCATCCTCGGGCTTGGCAGAGTCGGCAGGGAAGTCGCAGTTAGGATGCACTCGTTTGGCATGAAGGTGAGTCTGTATAACTAGTTTTTAAGGCTGAGTTGCACCACCAAACTTTGACCGTAACTACGATAATCGGTGATTTTCGTATGGAGTTTGACAGATTTTAGACGTTTGTTACAGTCAAAGAAAGATGGTGCAAGCCAGCCTAAGTTATGATGAGTTAATGAATGTGTCGTCCACAAAAACTGTGCAATCAGCAAGATCAGGTTCAACAAGATGCTGCGTTTACTGTAATTAACTAATTTAACGTAGCTTGAGGACTTTTTTTATTACAAAAACTGAAAACAGAAAACTGAGACATTTTCATAGCTGTATTTATGAGTTTCGGCGATCGAAAATAGCCGTCGTGTACCTATGTAGTTATTAAATTGTATTCCTTCTCGATAGATACTTATTATGTCAATAAGGTTTAATTTTATTAAGCTGCGTTATAATTTAACGAGCAATACGCGATGGTTGTAGTTTTCTACCTTTAATATCGTGCTCTGGTTCTATTGGCCTTCTAACCAATTGACTGGGTTGGCAACAAGTATCCTCGTGATTCAATACTTATGCAGTAAGCAAAACATTTTCTAGATTCTATTTTACCTTGACATGTTTAATTTATTACATTGCATCCAATTAAATCCAGTGCAGCGAAAATGTTTGCACATTTCGCTTAATATGCAAAATATAACTATTTCTTATATTTATGGCTATAAATTTTGTATAAATATGATCTAAAACCAATCTCTGGAATGTTATAAGTACCTAGTCCTTTTTTGTGTCAATTAATCGAACTCATAAAGGTAATACTCATGATCTAAATGTGCGTGGGATCTATTGTTAGAATGTGCATTTGCGACTTGCTATTACAATCAAGACCTCCAAATAACAGTTTTTGCACTTTTACTACACGAATAAATCGACCAAGTTTTACTATCATACTTTCGCCCGTATTCACAAACATTACTATGACATATCACAGTGCGCGTGGATGCACAGGGTGATACACGAACCAATCACAGAACTCTATTCAACGCTGTGCGTTCTATTTTCTGCTTCACATAAGCAAGCATCGTTTGTGAATATCTACGGGCGTTAGTTTCAGAAACTAAGTATCTTATAACTTAGTATGCTGAAGCGCTTGGCGAATGAATTGTTTTTTCTACTTCTAGTAAGTAGTAGCTGAGTGCTAAGTATAAACCAGTACTTGAAGAGCTTAAATATTTTGTGAATTTTGCTAAAAACAACGTAATGTCTTCTCCAGATTATCGGCTTCGACCCGTTCGTATCAAGCGAGCAGTGCGCGGAGTTCCACGCCACTAAGATGGAGCTGGAGCAGATCTGGCCGCTGGCTGACTACATCACGCTGCACACGCCGCTCATCGACTCCACCAGGAGTAAGTCGCGTTTAAAAAGTCATTTATTTTCTTCAAATAAGTAGTTTTACAAAAAAAAACCGGCCAAGTGCGTGTCGTACTACGCGCAGTAGTACGTGTAGGGTTCCGTAGTTGTCCTTCGTTACCACAATATATTTCAGAAGCAAGCAATTACATCATCTAAAGTAACTTTTAATATTTTTTTCTAAGAAATTTTTACCTATCTTAACCGCTATATAGCTTTCCTTGAAAGTTCATGAATAGCAGTTTAGTTTTTAGAGGGGGGGGGGAACTAATAATATAATTATGATTAATACTAGCGGCCGCCCGCGACTTCTAGGCCAGTAGAATTAAACACAAAAATTGATTAAATCGGAAATAATTCCTACAAAAGATTTTTTTGCTTTAATGGCTTCATTGGTTGCCCATTAAGACTCTCCTAAGTTTTCGACTTCGACGGAGTTTTGCTTAAGTGGTAGGGGCCCCCGGAAGGGGCGTTTTTTCGGTTTTCCGGTTATACCGCGTAAAGGACTTACCCTATCGAAAAGTGGTCTTCATGACGGTTAAAGGGCACTTAATCCTGCATTGAATAAGACCAAATTCATATGTTTTGGACAAACCGTTCTCGCGCTAAAGTTCGGCAAAGTAGAAAATATACGTATAATTAACGACCCTCTTCACGTCCAATGGCTTGTTACCCACATGCTTCCAAGCCTTGTAAAGGGTCGCCTTAACCAGTGTATGTAACCCTAACAAGGCTCACGAGTTTGATTCGCTTATCCTTGTTCGTCCCAGCCGTTCCTTAACTGCGGTTGCTGTACCTCTTCCTGGCACTCTCCTGAACGACTCTGTGTTACCTAATGTGGCTGCCCCTCTTCCTTGTACCCTCCTGTACGATTTCATTGCTTAGCCATATGCCTGGTCCAAGGTTCGACGCCACAAAATCAACTTCGTACGAGTGAAAATAGTTTAAATACTATTTCCCGTGCTTGCAACATTTTTCTTTACTGCTTCGCCTCTATTAGTCGTAGAGTGATTGTATATATCCTATAGCCTTCCTCAATGTATGAGCTATTCAACACAAAAATAATGATTTCAATCAAACTAGTAATTCTTAAGATTAGCGCGTTCAAACAAACAAACAAAAAACTCTTCAGCGTTTTAATATGAACTTGTTGTTGTTGATTTTTGGCGTCGAACCTTAGACCAGGCATACGGCTAGGCAACGTAGTCATGCAGGAGGATACAAGGAAGAGGGGCAGCCACAGTAGGTAACACAGAGTCGTTCAGGTGAGTGCCAGGAAGAGGTGCAGCAACCGCAGTTAAGGAACGGCTGGGACGAACAAGGATAGGCGCATCAAGCTCGTAAGCCTTGATAGGGTTACACTGGTTGAGGTGGCCCTTTTCAAGACTTGGAAGCCTGTGGGTAACAAACCATTGGACATGGAGAGGGTCATTAATTATACGTATATTTTCTACTTTGCCGAACTTTAGCGCGAGAACGGTTTGTCCAAAACATATGAATTTGGTCTTATTCAATGCAGGATTAAGTGCCCTTCAACCGTCATGAAGACCACTTTTTGATAGGGTAAGTCCTTTACGCGGTATAACCGGAAAACCGAAAAAATGCCCCTTTCGGGGGCCCCCACCACTTAAGCACAACTCCGTCGAAGTCGAAAACTTAGGAGAGTCTTAATGGGCAACCAATGAAGCCATTAAAACAATAAAATCTTTTGTAGGAATTATTTCCGATTTAAAAGCTAATTCTACTGGACTATTCGTGATTAATATATACCATATAATTACATATTAATTTGTCAGTGGCATTCTGCGCTCCCAACTTTTTAGTGATCAAACCCCACATAAGTAACAGCTGGGTTAAAAAATCTTAGGATTTGAATACAAGCACGTGAAACCTCCTTGGGGGAGGCCTTTGTCCAGCAGTGGACGTCATTTGGCTGAAACGAACGAACGAACGAACGAAACAATAAGATTAATAAGTCGTGTAGGACTTAGCTAGACAACAAACCAAACCGGTCGCCGTTTATCTATTTCATAACTTGTTTTAACCAACCACTCATAAATTAGTATGTTTATCTCTATTATGATTAAATCATACGATATTCTCGATGGTACCATATGGTGAGCCCTATCAGACCAAAATATTCCATCTTATCATTTAGAGATAAAGTTCATTGTTTCCAACGGAGTGTTACTATGTTGTTAGTAGGTATTGTGCTGTTTGATAATTTTCTGTGTAACGTGAGTCATGCAGATTATGCTCTGAATAATCCAAAGGAATATTTATAATAAACTTACTAACCTACTTTACGAATCTCTACGTTACCATTAATATTCACCGTTAGAGTAAGTAATCAAATAATCTTAACAGTTGAGATAGTGTAACTTTGACTGACAAGAATTCCACATATCTTGTTAATATCTAGTTGTAACTTAAGTTGATATTTCCGTCCACTTTTCTAGAAAGGGGTCTTTTATAACTGAAAAATATTGCGGTATTTGCGGTAATTACTTAGCCAACACATTCGGCATCCCAAATAAAATAAATCAGTTAATATTTATTAAAATATTTTCACAGACTTCATCAACGCCAGCTCTCTGGGGAAATGCAAGAAGGGCGTGAAAATCGTGAACGTTGGTCGCGGGGGTCTCATCAACGAGAGGGACCTTCTGGACGCCCTCAACTCGGGCCAGGTAACATTACAAAAACCCTACTCCAGTATCAATTAAATCAATTTGATTTTAAGTAGATCATCATCATCATCACTTTAGCCACAGGAACATATGGCTACATAAATATTAAGTCAATTGAATTGGTTTCATTCTCCTTGATGTAAGCAGTACAAATCCTTGCAATGGTCTATTGAACTCTTTCAAGTGTCTCCTATTAGTAATCGACTCGAAGAAGAAACTAGGTGGAAGGATCTTAGAAAAATAGAGTCCGTCCTAGTGAGGACATCTCAAAAGGCCAGCACTAAAAACTTTGGGATGTTCCACTAGCGAAAGACAGACAGACCACAATCGCACCTGATGTTAAGTGGGATGCAGTCTAGGATGATACACATTTATAACTATAAAGACTGTAAACCTATGAAAAAGAGGTTGACAAATAGTGACTGAGTTTCTTGCTCTGCTTCTTCTCAGCATGGGGCCATTTATTATCTCGAAGCAGTGGTAGGGTTATTACTGGGACATGTAAAAGAGCTTTTTCAAAGCCTACTTGCAAAAATTAATTGAGTTTTACTACTTTTTTATGAGTCGTGCATGCTTTATTAATCAACAGTTGTTGTTTTCCAGGTGGGAGCAGCTGCATTGGACGTGTTCGAACAGGAGCCGCCCACTGATCCCTTGACGCTGGAAATTATTCAGCATGCATCAGTCATCGCCACCCCCCATTTAGGTAAGTTTGAGAAACCGACCTGAATGTATCACCAAATCGTCGGTCCACTTAGTGGGGGGCCTGCTCACGCTATGTCTTCCGGCCCGTGGTCGTCACTCGAGAACCTGGATGTGGGCTCAGGACCTGTCGTTATGGATATCTTTGAGGCTTTTGTCCAGCAGTGGACCTCGTTTGGCTGAAACGAACGAACAAGAATTTTTATTGTATTACTAGCGGCCGCCCGCGACTTCGTACGCGTGGATCCCGTTTTACCCCCTTCATCTATCTTACGCGGTTTAGATTTTTTCATACAAATGTTTTTTCCCGCTAACTCCCGTTCCCGTGGGAATTTTGCAATATCCTGTTGTAACTAAGCTTTAAGTTTACTAAGATACCTGTATGCCAAATTTCAAGCGTCTAACTTAAGCGGTTTAGATGTTTTCATACAAATGTTTTTTCCTGCTAACCCCGTTCCCGTGGGAATTTTGCAATATCCTGTTGTAACTAAGCTTTAAGTTTACTAAGATACCTGCATGCCTTTGAAGCGTCTAACTTAAGCGGTTTAGATTTTTCACACAAAAGGATTTTCCCGCTAATTCCCGTTCCCGTGGGAATTCCTAAGTATACTATAACCTGCCCAGGAGTATGAAGAATAATTGTACCAAGTTTCGTTAAAATCCGTTTTGTAGTTTTTGTTTCTATAAGGAACATACAGACAGACAGACAGACAGACAGACAAAAATTTTAATGATTGCATTTTTGGCATCAGTATCGATCACTAAAATCACCCCCTGATAGTTATTTTGAAAATATATTTCATGTACAGAATTGACCTCTCTACAGATTTATTATAAGTACAGATGTACATATGTTACGCTCAAAGTAGTAGACAGAGAATTACAACGCGTCGTGTTTTCATAAGAAACATTCTTTTTAATGTTTTACAGTGACTAAAGATATGTGTGTACTTTTTCCTAGTTAACGTTTCGGTATTTGAGCTTCAAGTTTTGTAAAATACAAATATTCATTACTTGTAAATAGGTAATGTCCCTGAACCAAATAATGTCTAGAGTCTAGAGTTTGAAGTCATGTTGAATATTCCCCTATTACCACCTCTCGTTCCCACCGCTGCAACTCCTGTGAAGTCAGGATCTACAGCTTGATAACAAATAACATATTAAATCATCATTTATAAACGAATTTCTTATTCTTCCTTGCAGGTGCATCCACCAAGGAGGCTCAAGTTCGTGTTGGCCAAGAGATAGCCGAGCAGCTGGTGAACCTGGTGAAGCCTGGCACCTACTCCACGCCTCTGGCCGAAGTCACTAGGATCCTCAAAAAATGAACCAGTGACAATCCTCCCTAGACTTTAATTTATGATACGCTAAACGTCATTTACGCCCGTATTCACAAACGATGCTTGCTTAAGTGAAGCAGCAAATTGAACGCAAAGCGTTGAATAGAGTTCTGTGATTGGTTCGTGTGTCACCCTGTGTGAACAGAGTAATGTTTGTTAACAGAGTAAATAATGTACCTCATAGTAATGTTTGTGAATACGGGCGTTAAGAGCGAGGATGTATTTAAGCAAACTAATTTAAGATTCCTTAGTTACATTAATAAGGTATCCAATATTGATAGTCTGATTAAGATTTATCTGATTATTCGATTAAAATAATCTAAGTAGTTAATCTAATTGGCTCTTGTTAATTACTTGTTACAAGCGTTTAGTTTATTTACCAACAAATGTATTTAAATCGTATTTTGTTGAAGTATTTTGTTGCTTATTAAAACTTTCGTATACATAAAAATGTTGTTCGTTCTTCTTATCCTATCGTACAAGCCTTTGAGAAACAAAGATCAAACCCAAAAATGGGAAGTCAAACAAGCCTAAACAAATATAACACAGATTAGGAAACAGAGTAAAGAAAATATCATCATGGAGGAATGAAGATGTAAGTAGTTTTTTATGAGCGGTAAAAACACAAAAACTCACAAAATATACAGGGTGGAATAATTTTGTAATGCCACCTGGAAAAGTTAATAGGTACTGTAGATAAAAAAAATTGTTTAAAGAAAACATTCCTTTATTTTTGAAAAGAAAGGGAACTGGACACAAAGATTTCCAAATTTTCGAAAATTCACCACAATTTTCTCTAATTAATAAAAATATTTTAACATTTCATTTGATTTATCAAGTTTGTTAGAGAGATTTCATTCTTATACTTAACCCTAACTATCGATGCAATAAAAATACAAGTGTAATTTTTAACAGACTTTAGCTGGTTCGATTCCCGGGTGTGGGCAAAAATTTTTGGAAATCTATGAACGCAGTTATTTTTCTTTTAAAAAATTTAGGAATGTTTCGTTTTAGTAAAATTCCTATCTACAGTACTTGCCCTCCAGGTGGTATTACGAAATTCCACCCTGACCCTGTGTATACCTAATCAATTGACTGGAGTGTACCTAACTAATGTGTAACCTCACCTAAGTGTACCTAACACTATGTTTTGATGAAAATTATGTTTATTAAAACGGTCATAATTATGTTTATAAGAAGAATCAATCAAAATTCTACGAGTAGTACTTCTAGAGTGAATCTACTCGTAATCTTCAAAGGAATCAAGGAAGTCTGCTGGACAGTTTCCAACAAATTAGGCAACATGAATGATTTGAAGAGAATTCTGTTTAGCTTACCTAACTGTGCAAGTGTAATTTAATTTAAAGCAAGAATAAAATTAGGAATCCAAAGGAAATAATAAAAGCCATCTGTACGACAATTTAAAATTATGTATTTAAAAATATCTTATAAAGTATAATTTACAATAGAAAAATAGAAAGTAGGTACTTATTAACATGTAATAATTCATTTTAAACCTCAGCCAGACTAAAATACATGGCAGTTTACTTATTATACGGGAGGATCACGGAGGCTTGAACACTTTCTTTCACAGCGAAATGTTTATTTTGTTTGTCTCATCTTTGGTGTTGAAAACACGTATGAACGAGTGAGAGAGACAATTATACGAACGATTGAGATCCATTTCGCATGTGTAACAAAATACTTCTGCGACTGACTAATAATCCCTAGAGGTATTCTCTGTGGTCGCCAGAGACAATGTAAAACATAGTGATCTTTCAGCCATAATTCGGCTTTGTCATATAGTAATAATAGGCAGAGTTTAAAATAAATTAAATTGAATACACAAATTAAAGAAACATAAAGATAGAAAACATGGAATTATTAAGCGTTTATAATATTGTCAGAGAGGTAACCACAGTCCGTTCCAAAAGGATTGTTTTTTGCGAATGAGATGATCTTAATCTACTTAGTAGATTGAACTGTCTCAGTGATTTTAAGGTCATAGCAGATTTATCAACTCTGAATGTGATCAACAAGGCGCTGTCAACCGCGAGGCGAGGCGTTTACGTTACGATAAGTGTGCGTTGCAGTATGGAGTTTCATACAAAGAATTTACTGACCGCTTCGAGTTGAAACGGTTACGATCCCTTTCCGGGTCGAATGTGATACGACTTAGGTATAGTTCTAGCACTTATCTCAGTCAGTCCCTGGGCCTTTCCCCTAACTCAGGCACTGACTGAGTTAGCAATAAACCTATTGATATCACTAAGGACAAGACAATTCGGGGCCAATCTTAGTCGTCCTTAAGCATTCGCAAGATATCCCATTTCCATCGGCGCAGACTATGATCAGCACTATTATTTACATCACCTCTGGAGTCATTCTATCGGAGAGTGAAAAATTGAAAAACTAAGAATGTAGTGAAAAAATAATTTGAGAATAAAAAAGTATAAAAAAGCTAATTTCCTTTTATGTTCGTCATTTGTCAGTATTACATGAAGAATATCAGTTTTTCAATAACTACTTGTCCAAATGCAATGAAGAGAATGCCATGAAGGTGTCATTAGTCTCGCTTCTCCATGTTGAATATTAGGGAATAGGATTTTAGGAATTAGATTACATGAGTATTTTTAGGACTTAGTAGCCCCCCCTTCGAGAGAATCCCCTGCCAGTCCTGGTGGGAGGAGCAGCGTCATTCTGCTCCTCGTTCTCGGGTTCAGGGATAGACCGTGCGGCCGCTGGAACAAAAAGTTGTATGTCAGTCCAAGTCCGTTTGGTCCGTAGATTTTTATCTATCAGCGATTTTTTCGAAAAATAGTTCTACAAGTGAAACCAACTTTCAATTATATGATTCATAGAACAAAAAGAATAACTATAAGTCTGTAGATGAACAGTGTTCATTGAACGCGCCAATCCCACATGCGGGTTTTGTCTGCTTACGATTTGAAGCTAGTCTGAAGTTAGTTTTGATACATAACTCCTAAATTGAAATTCATCATCCTCATTGCTTAAGTATTTAGCCTGAGAATATAAAAATTGAGTCTAAGAAAAGCCTAAATAGAAACAGAACAGAATAAATACTTACGTCTGCCGAAACGCCCCCTGCTGGGCTTGGAGGGAGCAGGTGCGTCGTCGTACGTTGCCTCACGCGCAGGTGGGGCGTTGTTGAACCTCTTCTTACCTAAAACAAGTAAATTGAATGTTATTTATTATGTGCAACAAGGATAAATAAATAAATGTTAATTTGCTGCAGGTAAGTACAAGTAGGGCTAAAGACTACATAATTAAGATAAGTCAGTATTTTGACAGGAGGATTGAACTGGGTGGCTTGAAGTCACGAGCTACGTACTTTTTTTAGCAGTTCAAAGTTCAAACTGCTTGAAATACACTTACAAGATTTTAAAATGAAGTCATGCCAAAAAACTTGATAAAAAGTCCTTTGCATTTCTGGTTGAATTCGAAAGGCGAATAAAGGACCAAACTGGAAAAGCGCATTATTATGACGACTGTGGATCATACTTTAACGCTTTCTCCATTTAAACCAGACACAAAGCCTTAGCCGTGACCGTAAAAATCTGCTTGGAAATATAATTTATCTTGAATTCTACGACACACATCGCATACCGAAGTGCTGAGGCTGTGAATCATGGAGGGACGACATTATTCTGCTATATTTGGAAGTGTTTAGATACCTACATAGTTGGAGAACTGCATTCAATGATTCCATTTTCCTTACTTTTACACACCTACTCATTTGTATCACGTCTTTTTGATATTAAAATTTTTGATTCAACGCACTGAAAAATTACTTTAAAGTTTCTGTTCCTTTAAAAGACTAGCTTTCTGCCCGTGGTTGCGCCCGCGTGATATTTTGTCTGTCACAGAAAAAGTTTATTGGGCGCGTCCCCGTTTTAAAAACCGGGGTAAAAACTATCCTATGTCCTTTCCTGGGACTCAAACTATCTCTATGCTAAATTTCATCAAAATCGGTTCAGTGGTTTATGCGTGAAAGCAAGACAGACAGACAGAGTTACATTCGCATTTATAATATTAGTATAGATTAGGTACATTTAAGTTTGCGATAATGTAATAAAATGTATAAAGGTAGGTACTCACTGAAGTTACCCTTGGGAGGCGCTTCTGTTGGGGCATCCTCCGACTGCGAGGCGGCGGCAATGGGAGCGTGGCTGGAGTGCTTAGCTGGCAGAACAATGAAATAATTATGAGCAAAATGCCAAGTAGTCTGTCGCCATAACAATAACGTTTACTTCGCTATGTTTCGGCAGTTGAAGGTATGATAGGCAGTTCCATTGTGGTACAGAATCCATCATGCTTACTTAGTGGTCAAAGGTAGGTAGAGTCTAAGATTCTTAATAATCAAAAATGTGATAGTAGGCATGTTAAAACTGCGCATGACCTCGGTTTTTCGTTTACCCGTCACAAACATGTTGCAAAATCTAGAGTTCTCAGAAACAGAAACTTTCAGTAAAATAGTGTTAAAAGTTTTGCGAAGCTATTAAAATATTACTTAATATCATTTGCATTCTTTTAACTCAAAGATTGTCATCACAAAAGATGTTTAGAAACGATAAAACGCATAAGAATTTAAGTTAGATCTCATGACCTACAAATGTTATTCTGTTACCTTCAGCAGCCTGTGCTCTCCTTCTCTTCAAAGTCTCGAGGAGGTCAGTGTTGCTGCGGAAAGGCCTGACGCCTCCGCCTACAAGTTTCTTGCCCTCCGTGGAAGAGGGCGGCGCCTCTGTGGATGGCTCCTGTTCTCCCTCGGCAGGATAGTCACCTTCATCTTCGTATTCCTCTTCCTATAGCAAAAAGGAAACAAATATTTTAATAAGCATTCTCCAAAGCACCGATTTCAGTCATTATAATGCAAGAACACCCAAATACACAAACCCATAATGTAGGTACTTATAAAAGTCACGACTCATTGCATTCGCAAATAAATTAAACTAACAGCTAAATGTGTTGACCTGTGCAAATACAAAAAACTTGTTCGCCGCACTTCGAGTCACGATTCTGACAAATGCATTCTGGTTTTCCGTATTAATTAAAAAAATAATCTTTTTTTAAGCTTTGCACCATGACACAGGTAGAAATGACTGTGAGGAAATGAAGGTCACTTAAAGGTCGGCAGAGAAGGTGACCCCATCCTCGGGCGATCGTCCTGCTCACCTTGAACCGGATTAATCGTGTCGTCCCCTTTGCGAAATCTGCCACCAATGTTTTGATATGCCATGTATGTTAATGCACATTATTATGGGCGGTTGACGTCGTTAAAGCATTCACGTTTTGCCGTGATAGTGGCATTTATCGTTAAGTTGTCGTCAATCTTGGAGACACCTTATAAGTATGCAGCTTTATTTGTTGCTATCAGGATTCTTCATTGACGTCATTCAAAGTAAGAGCTATGAATGTGATCAGGTTATCCACTAAGTACCTACAAGGAAAAATCAAGTGCTGGCCAATGGCCTGTTTAGAGCTCAAACTAAGACATTCAACTTAATTCGGAATGAAAATTTTTCTCATTAACATTTTTTCGTTTTTGTTCGACTATGCAAACCACACTTCGCGGCAAAAGATACAAAACTACAGACACGATTTTTACAAATAACTGCATTAATTTATGATATAATACTAATTATTACTCTTGTCGTGAGTGAGTTTATTTTTATTCTGCTTTACCTACATCCGCATATTTTCGTAAACGCACTGAACTTTGTAACCAGAATCAGAGCAGTTTCAGGGTCATTTCGATCAACCAAATCTATACTAATATTATAAAAGCGAAAGTAACTCTGTCTGTCTGTCTGCCTTGCTTTTACGCCTAAACCACAGAACCGATTTTGATGAAATTTGGTACATAGAGATAGTTTGAGTCCCGGGAAAGGACATAGGATAGTTTTAAAGGGACGCGCGCGATAAAGTTTTTCTGTGACAGACAAAATTCCACGCTGGCAAAGCCGCGGGCGGAAAGCAAGTTATCTAATAAGTAGAATTCAAAATGGTGAAAAAGGCTTTTAGGCTTTTTTCCATCCGATAGCAATAAGATATCACGTGAGCGTCGTGCCTAATGCCTCATTGTGAAACCGCAACGGGCCGGTTACCGTTGCACGGGTAACATAATAACGCTTAACCGAAGCTATTGTTTCGGGACAACAAAATTAGTCAACCCTATTAGAGCCTAACTTAGACTTTTGTGTTTCCGATGATATAAGACATAACACATAATTTTCTTCTTTTGTCAACTAAATACCTTTATTTACCATAGGTACTTTAAAGTACAATAATTGCAATCTTTTTAGCAACTCAATTGGAGCAGCTGCCACATTGCAATTTAAAATATACTTAATTAACACATTTATTGAGCTACCAGTATGAAATTGCGGAAATGTGTTTATTGAACTGCACGTTAGGTCGTTTGTCTGTCAATCCACGATCGACAATACATCAATCGCAAATTAATTAATGTTTACCTAGTTATTTATTTATGTAATAGCACAACTGGGTCGATTATTTTAAGTATTTTAAACGTTTTAATTTAATATAGAGCAAATAAAACTGTTAAAATGAATCCAATAAAGCAAGCATTAATTGGCATGATGATTTCTTCGGCTTTGAATAGGATACAGCAGATCCTTATCACAATAATTAAATATCAAAGAATACCGGTTAGTATTAAAAGTTATGAATTTACACAGTCTCTACGATCGTGATTTTACTTACCATATGCACGAGGTGAATTAACTAATTAAGCTTTTCAGTAAAGTTATTTTCGAAATTAAAACTAAAAGCTCGTAGATGTAATATTACAACAAAGATCTAAAAAGGGTCTAAGGACTCGACACCTTGCACCCTGAAAGTAAATCCTATTTCACTCAACACTCAAAATATTCAGATTCTGGCAAAGTCATAGAAGAATTAATGTCCAAAGGCGAGAAGAAGAAGCCTTGCCCGTTTGTAAACAAGTTTTTTTTTACCCAGAAAGATCTAAGTGCCCATTTCTCTAAAAAAAACCTGTTCTTAGTCCGTCTGGCTAACCACTATCCCATCCAACACAACATCAATGCTAACAACATTGTTGTGTTTCGGCAGTAGGAAGAGAAGAAACTGAGATATTATTAGGTATATCCTCTGTGATTGAGGATTTCGGGTGAACTTTTCTACCTTCGGTCTGATCATCACTTTTCATCAGGTGACATACAGGCCAAAAGCTTCCTCATTGTGGATAAAAAAGGTTTTTTACCTGAAGAGCGGGAGTGGTAGTTGTTTGAAAGAACCCTAAGATAGCCAGTTCCTCTGTGATTGAGGATTCCGGGTGAACTTCTACCTTCGGTCTGATCATCACTTTTCATCAGGTGGATACAGGCCAAAAGCTTCCTCATTGTGGATAAAAAAAGGTTTTTACCTGAGGAGCGGGAGTGGTCGTCGTCGAGGGCTTTTTTGCCAGCCCTCGCTTCAGCAGGCCGCGGGAAGGCGACGCTCTTGGCTCAACTTCATCTTGCGCGCGCGCCGATACCTGCCACGCCACACACGCCAGCAGCATGATACTGGAATAAGAAAATCTAGATTATCATCATCGTAAGGTCATTAAACCTCTAAGATTGACTATAATTGGCCGATAGTTGGGTTAGCGCTTAGGCTATTGATCACGTCCCCGCGCGCTTCGGAGAGAGTTGTCTTCTGAGGGCGACAGATTGAGTGAGGCTGCGGCCAAAGCGTGGGGGTACACACGTGAACGACTTAACGGCGCCTTACGTGCTACCCCACTAAGCGCCACCCGAGGGACCCGACAGGTTTTTAGTGGGTAGGCCCTGCCCTTCTGGCAGGGAGAGCCCAACATAACCCACCGGAACCCCCGGACCGGTGGGTATGCATTACATTTTCCTGACGCAAAAAAAGGCTACGCACATTATTTACACAGATTTGGTGCTAGTCGTACAAATTGGAAGCCGACCAAACTACATATACCTAAGCTGATAAAAAGTCTGTAGTATGTAAGGAGTGCTGCAGGAGATTGATACTCGCAAAACCAGAGAGAAATGGAGGATTTGCCCCACAATCTAGATTAATAAAGCCATTAAATTGTTGTGTAGAATCATAAGACCGTGGATTACTGAATCCGTTTAAATCTTCTTGTTAGTAGACTTTTAAGATGGAAGAGGGTCTCTATTTCACTGTTAATTTTATTACACTGTTCACACAGAGTGAACGCTGTTTCTATTTTAAATAAACTACTCAAAACATGCTGCACTGGTTCGGCAGTTGAACGCACGACCTCACGAATAAACCAAGTTCATTTTCCTACCAGGATATACTCGTAATATTATAAAACATTATAAAAATAAACTCCTAGGATTCGTCCTCTATTTCGTGATATGACATCAACCAACTAAAAAAACAATTGCGCATCTGATATTTTAAATAACCACAAAGTTTACATAAACTTTATTTGTTGTAACTTTTTGCATTCGCTCACGGATTCAAGTTTGATAGTCGAGATAAGAAAGACATTTTGTCACGTATTCTCAGAAAATGTATTATTATACAGGAATAAAAGCCTCCTTAGATCACTAACGTAAGTGCGCCTATTAACGACCCCCCAAAATTTGTATCCTATTACCGCCCTATTTTTCTTTCTTTCATAAAAGACATAATAACAGGTTCCAGAAAACACGTTACTTAAAAAATATCTAGATATGTTTATTGACTATCAAAACGATTAAAGTTTGTGTTCGTAAATAACCAGTAAACGGAGTTATTTCACATTAAATGGGACGCGCCCGCAACGGACGCACTTTTCATACTGACGCGCTCCCAGCTACTTAAGGTGCACCTTGTTATTAATTAGCGATTTTAACACATTTAAAATGAGTATACCAACATGTTTTTGCATAACAATATTAATTCGTACTTTAGTTTCCTTAATAAACCCTCAATATAGCCCTCTCGCTGTATTTATGTGGCTTAAATACAATTTTAAATAAGGGCGGTAATAGAAACACTTTTCATAATTTGGTTTCTAATACCGACCCATGGCGTTGTTAGAATTTTGATTAAGTTTCTTATTTTAGTATTTATATCTTTAATTACGCATTTAACCTCCACTTTGTTGTCTTGATCGATTCATAAGAATATTTCACATAATTAAATCAATTAACGCCATACATTAATTGTCATAGGTTTGGCATAAAACTGCAATGAACATTAAAGAATATCTCTAATAATGTATGACAATAGATTTTATAAAAACCTGTTAAATTCTAATTAGTACTTATTTGATATAAAATAAAACCTAATAGAAATGATACTTCACTGATCACGTCTTCGTTAAAGTAGATATTTTAGCTGGTTACTGTTTTTTTTTACGGTCGGTAATAGAATAAAGTAATATTCATACTTAATTCTATTACCGCCTCATAATTATAACGCCACCTGCGAAGACTTATAAGCCTGTATTTTGTATATAACTAACATTTATGACATGACACCTAACCAATCATGCGTTATCACAACTACTATGTAACTTTTTAAGATCTTTTGGATTAATAAAAAAAAATTAAAATAATTATATAGACATTGTCCAATTGTCCATAGTTTAAATTAAAATACACAATTACACACAATTAAAATCAAAAACATCAGTCAAAAACGAAAGTCAAATTAAAAATAAAATATTAAATGCAAATTATTTTTTATTAAAACTCAAATATACATAGTTTAAATAATGACCCCCACTACTCACTAGAAGACCTGGTATCGCGTAATCAAGTATAATTGAGGAATTTATTATTCTACTATTTCTGCTTGATTATTTATTTATTTTCGAGAAGCGTGCCTTTTCTCTTTTAACAATAAAAAAAAATAACTTGAAAAAAAAAAACAAATTTAACTAAAACTAAAAGCAAAACAAATTTAACTTGAAAAAATCAAGTGGTTCCCGAGCCTGTGAGCGGGAATCGAACCCGTGCCTCTTGGAATATACCCAATTGAAGAGCAATATTCTTAGCGGTCGGTAATAGAAACAGAAAAAACGTTAATAGAAACACACCTCGTCTATAGGTCGGTAATAGAAACAACTGCTTATTCAGATTAAATTGCTATTTATTAATTATTGTGTGATTGAATACTCATTGTTACTACTTGAATTCAAAGATTACTTCATCATTGTTATAAATAAATTAAAGTGTCTTTTCTATCACCACGTCTTATATCTAATTTTCTAAAGTTTATCCGAAGTCAGCTTAAACTGGCGGTAATAGGCGCATTTACGTTACCTCATTATATTCCTCGAACTACGTAGTACTTAAGTAAGTCTGAATTCCTAGAGATTCAAAACAATCAGTAATTTTTTAGTTTCATTATAATTTCACAAGGTTTAACATTGAGCGAAATTTTCACTCGAATATCATTGTACTGAGTCCACGTGATACCAGGTGGTGATCACCAGAAGAACATCGACAATATTTTCTACTAATAACATCATAATAAAATAAAATGTCACGTTAATAAATTAAAATTTAAGAAATTCATATAGATTTTTTGTACAGCTTCGATAGGTCAAATGATAAAGTTAATTTAGTCTAACAATAATGAAATGCATGGCTCTTGAATCTAGTTGTCTGCATACTAACTATTTAACTTGACTGCAAAATGTCAGGGTCTATTGGAATCAGGTAGTATATTCATTTAGTGTCGGCATCTGTGCCTACATAGCACATTGGCTGTAATAAATTAATAATACCTGGCACAGGGAAACCTCGCACCAAGATACAATATTGGAAACTAAAGTTACTTATTACAACACGAGAATAATTAATGTCTAAATTACCGGTCGAATGATTGTCGTGTCCTTGCATTTTAGAACCATTAAAACGGAAAATACCTTCTTACTTCATTCATACGCTCAAAGATTGCGCATGTGTGCCAAATTGATGTCATTCAGATATTCGTCTTATAAAGCAGCTTTATTACATAAGATGAGCAGTTAACGAGTCGCTACATGATATTATGAAACAGAAAACGACATTCTATCATGTTAGATTACATAAAAAGGTCGCGTTGTACATAAGTTCAAGGGGCAGACGATGCGGATTTATTTGATGGGTAAGCGGATATCGGCCGTTGGCTCGCGGATTCAATGGTAAATGTGAACCAGCGAGCATGGCGTGGCATGCCGAGGCTGGGTGAATGTCGCCGGGCTTCGGGCGCTGCTGCGGCTCTGCCGCGCATAAGGTCAGCCTGTATGTCACTCTGCTCGTGATTGTTGAATAACTCGCCCCAGCAGGGTCAGGTCAGGTGGACGTGAACCAGTTCCGCATCCGCTTCCGATCACACTATTTCATACTCCCTTGGCTTTCTCTATTTTATATAATCTGAACCATCCGAGTGACGGCACTTGGTTTCCAGCCGACAATTTATGCACGATCACGTATGCCAATTTACAATACAATATAAAATTATCTGTACGAGCCGACCTGTGCCGTTAGAACGTATTTTATTGTTGTTAAGTTGCGTGAAACCTTGGTTGAATTTCAACAAGTTAGAAAGATGGAATAGACAGATCTGACCGGGCACGGCGGTGCATTCATTAAAGGAGAAATCATAAATCGCGATTTCGAGTCACGTTGGAAAAAGTGCACTTTCTATATTTGTGACATTTACTATGTCGCATGCGTGGGTGATCAGAATGCGTAATTGTAACCTCAAATCGCGTCAAGGTCAGTCGGGCAGAAACCAGAAGTGGTAAAAAGTGGGGTGACCTCGCCACGCAATGCGGCAGCCACACACCAAGGTGCCATTTTCCTTTTAGGATCTCTGGACTAGAACATTTTTTGTTCCCAAGGAGGTTGTGAAACGGTTCCCACAGCATCTCCTTTCTAAATCATAACAATGTCGGAGGTGAGGCCTGGTTACGAGAGCGCCGATTCCGTCGTGATAACTCTAAGCATCCGCGATGAGGTTTTGCACATCAATCTTCCCACTATTCTTTGAACGCACAATGCGATAGTTGGGTAACTATTGAGCTTACATAGCTAAAAAGTGAGTAGGTATGTTCCATTTGTAATACTTTGCAAGAATGCGATTATTAATTTTGAATTGTGCAAGATGCGATGTGGGTGCGAAAGAAACTGTGAAACTGCAAAGCTCGCGAGTCCCTGCGTCTTATAGGTAACTAAATGTCAATCGTCTGGTTGAGCAACGATGTTTTATTACCAAATGTCTGTAAGTTAGCTGTAATGCCAACGTTGGGTAAGTGGTGGTATGTTTGAGCGCATCCTCGTGCAGTCACGCCTTTGTTAAATGTGCAGCGCGCAGGCGAGCCTGCACACTTGTGATTAAGGGGCGCCGCGCCGTGTCACGGCTGCATTTCAAAGAAGCTCTCGGCGAATAATCGTTATGCAACCCGACTAACGTTTGCCCCAACGCTCCAACAAACAGTTGTAAATTATAAATTTTGTAAGGGGAATTTTAATACATGTATAATCTCAACTAATTGAGGCCAACTAGTGGAAGTGATTGCATTCATTATCAACCAGACTCGTTTACCGGTTTGCAAAATATCGAAGCACTAAACTACGTTAAGACACGTATTTTCGGCTCTAGGCAACCTATCTTCCGGCTTTGCAATACAGACCAATTACCTGAAAAACGGGAAATCGGTGATACGAGGTTGTTCTAATTACCGAGGGCAAAAATTAGCGTGAGAGATAGTTATTTGTAAATTTGAAACTACCTCAGTTACGGTTGAACTGGCAGAGTACTGCACAAGAACACAAGTTTCATGTTCTGTGAATTTATTCCCTACATAGAATGACTGCTACGAGGCGAGAGAAGAATTTAAATGGTTGTATTTGAATAATGTACAAAGTAAACGAGTTCAACAATCTAACGCAAACGTTGGTAAAATATGTAAAATGTGGGTATCACGCAAAACATGTGCGTATTAATTTTGGCGGTTACATACCTAACAGGGTAAATAATAATAAATCATTATATCAAAAATAACATCAGTATTGAGTTGTTTGCAGTTTTATTGTTACGATTCTATTTAATATTGCATAATTTTAATATGTTATTAAGTCCATTATTTCAATTATTTGTTCAAGTAAGTAGTCTTCATTTCTTCTGCGTCTGATGCAATTTATATATTAATAATTTACTATATTCATATGCAATTAAAAGTTGGCTGATTGTATTCATATTATGCCACGAATAATTTCCAAATTTTCTCAGGTGTTAACGTTAATCAATCAAATCAGTCGATAAATATCGTAAGGAATTTGTTGATCAAGGTGTTTGCAAAGCAGAATAGGTGGATACACGTTGCTAGGGTCGATATTTGATATATTTGTAAAGCTAACATGTGAAATGGGATCAAGCTGAAAAAGAAATACGTATTTGGAGATTACATACATCAATTAAATGCAGTAAAAATAATAACGTATTTTTTTTTAAATCAGGACAAAAAATGGATACCTCGTTTGACCCTTTTTCAGTTAAAATAAATAAGGAGTTGTATGATGGTGGCTCATAGGTCACACCAGAAAGATCCTGTACATTGCAGGATATTCAAAATTATAACTCTACAAATATTTTCAAAATTCATATTCAAACTCTTATAAGACCTCGTTGCTAAGCATCTAATCATAACGACAGTACCTACAAGAAATTAATTACAGTTTAAGGGTAGTTCAAACAAATCTTTATGCTAGCAGGTAGCAAAATGGATATCATAATTTCTTCATTTCCGGGACAATGATGTTTACATTTCCAAAATTTATCTAAAAACATCCAAGTAATGTTAGAAAACTAGGAAACTTTACTATAGACTGATAGATAGAAGAATATTAGACATTTTAACAGTTTGAGGGTAGTTCAAAACTTTGTGCCACATCTCTAAATGGATATCAATATTATTTCTCCATTTTCGAGACATTTCCTTGCTACGAAATTGAAAAATGTATCAAAAACACTGAAATAAGGACTTCAAACTAGAAAATCTTGCTATGGATTAGAATATTAAACACATTTTTTAAGTTTGAGGGTATTTCAAGACTCTGTGCTATCACGCGGCAAACTGGTTATGAATTACTAATTTTCGGGACATTTCCTTGATACAAAATTGAAAAATTTATCAAAACTACTGAAATAATGACATAAAATATAAAAATAATGGACGGATGGATTAGATAAATTAGGCAGATATCTTAACAGTTTACGAGTAGGTAGTTCAATTGTAACTTGCACGTGGTGAAAAAGACATTTTAATTTATCCATTGTCAACACAAATCTGGCTGCAAAAGTATTAAAAGTCACCTAAATAATGATAAAAAATTAAGAAACTTCTAGTGACTGGTGGACTAATGAAATGGATGAGGGTGGTTCAAGACTCTGTGGCAGCACGTGGCGAAACAGATATGACGATTTTTACATTTTTAAGACATTTTTGGCCACAAAACTGCTGTAATTAACATTAAACATGATTTAAGTAATAAGTAGGGTACGGGCATGCCCGATTTGCACGAGAGTGATCTATCATTCATCCAACATAATTATATTGTTGCCTAATCGTAGGTCGCGGGCCTAACTTGCAACATGGGACCGAATCATACAACCAACCGGTTCTAGTCTCGCTCAATTAAATTGAAAATTAATTGGTTTTGTTACACCAGGTCAAGCCTCAGTCTCCATAATGAGGTTTATAAGTCAAGAATTATGAAACGTGAAATAAGCAATGATATCGTCTAAATCGCTACTCTCGCGAGTGTCGCGGGCGCACAGTGGGCGGCTCCGACTGGTTGCACGCAGCTCGTTCCCGCACCCTCCACTGCGACACCAAATAACGAATGCCATTAGAAAGGAGCTACACTTTTCAAAACTAATTCTAAAACTATTGCGCTATTTCACGTTCCACTAATAAAATATTACTCGACAATTTAAATACTGTTGCGGACACAATCGTTTTGTAACCGGCCGTATCCACCCAACACAGTTAAATATAATAACTTAAATTATTCTGAAATATCGCCTTGCGAAGTTAAATTCCAAAGATTTAGGGCAGCCGGCCGGTAGGTTGAAAACGATTTCCTAAAGGATCGGGGGGACGGATTGATTCGCAGCGGCAATCGCACAGCTTTTGGATTGGGAAATAAAGAAAATAAATAAATTGACTTACAGAGGTAATATCTTCATGTTGATGTCGGTTCGCGGATGTCGTAAGTTGCAGTTCCTTTCTCCGCGGGGCGGCTAGGTATGGTGTAGGTGCACTGCGCTCGGAGGCCACGGTTGGTCTGGCCGAGCGCGCGCGCACACGCGGCTTGCCCCCATCGGCCGCCTCATGCGCGCGCAGGCCGCGTGCCAAACATTTTCCACATACCTTCTCTTTCAGTTTGTCATCGGACCTTAAATCCTGGTATGACGTCGTGATGAGAAAGAACCTCATGTAGGAACCTGAAATACAGCACTGTGGTGCATTAATAACTTTCAGCAGGACATATTTGCGTTTAATTGCAGATGAATCGTTATGAAGACAAATGTGAGCGGGGTTAAATGAGGGTATTCAGAAATTAAATTCAAAGGCAGCCATTTTGATGCCAATAGGCAGGAAAGGAAAGGTCACCTTGAATTCGTGGAAGCATGCCTTTTTTGAATAAATATTAAGCCTTCCTTCTTATTTAAATGCTTTTTAAGAAAGCATCCGTCATTTAAACTCGACTCAAAACTTATTGCTTGTTAATGTAAAATAGATAACAATAACATTTATCTCAGTTATTAAAAGAGTAATGTTTAATAATTAATTTATTGCTAAAAATCTTCATCAGTTAGGTAATTAGGGTTTTTCCGCGTTTCCACCCGCGCAAGGGTTTCAGTATTTCACTGAAAATGCTGAAGGTCTATACATATAGCAAATGTATATTTCTTGCAAAAATTACTGGACGGATTTTGATGCAACTTTAGTATAAATTCCCATTATTTCGTAGATTTTTAAGGGTAGTTGACAGTAACAGACCCTGAGTGCATAAAAGCCTCATAAAATGGATTTAGAAAAAATCACGTTTTCCAAGCAATAAAAGCTTTTAATAATTTTTAATGTAAGTATATGCCATTTAAAATAATGAATGGAAGGTGTCAAATGTCGTGAACTTTTGAAATGACCCGCAATTAACATTTGAAATACCAAACGGTAGGTAGGTATGTTGTTATCTAACAAAACTATTATCGAAAACCTTTGTCTAAAGTCTAAAGGGCCAATTGGTAGCTTTGTGAGTTTTTTTATAGCAAAACTAGTTAGTTATTTATGGAAACGAGGTGTAGCTACTTAAAGCACAGAATACATAATTTTGTAGCAACTTAAATGTAAGATTGTATCTGATTTTCTGTGTCGCATAGTACATGATAGTACTCGGATTTGACAATGGCCTTAAAAACTACATTAAAAATGCTTGCCACCAGGTCGGCGCCACATTGCTCTGGTTTCCTTAAGATTATTGCTGTTCCTAGCTAATGCATTACCAATAAACTTTCAACGAATCTAAGCTTATGCCTAGGTACCTTCTAGTGTAGTATCTAATAGCTGAGCAGGTTACCCAGTTTACATAATCATATAAATTGAAAAGCATATTGTAAGTACCTATACAGACTGTCAAAAAAAGTAGTGTCAAGCCCAGAGGTAGAGCATCACTCGGGCTATCCAAATCACCCCCATGTATGTTCCGCGATTTTTTATAGTTTTCGAGTTACATGCCTGATTTTTTTAAATTATTATTAGATGAATTCTAGGCCTAGCTGATTTAGAAGTGTTTACATCCATAACACGAATGTAAACTAAAAACGTTAATGTTGTAAAAAAAATCGTTACTCGAAATCTATCAAAAGTCGCGGTGATTCGAGTAGCCCTAGTGATGCTCTATATCTGGGCTTCGGCTTGACACTACTTTTTGGGACAACCTGTATAAAAGTCCATTATTACCAAATCAAATCATTATTGTCAAATCCCAAGAGGAGGTAGTTGACGCTGGTACTGAAAAAATGGACATCAAATAAATCAATGCGACTTTCTTTAAATTTCCTAAGAGAAGCCGGTTTAAAATATGACGTAACTTAGGTATCATTTATTTATTAGACCAGAATTAATGATTTATTTTACACTAGTAGGAAAGTAGATCGGTAATTTTATATTTACTTTTTTAAGTTTTTGATTTATATTACTCCACCTATACATACTCCTACATCAATGAAATAATTACTTGTTATTATGTGTAGATTATATTCCAATTAAGCTTTGTAATGTCAATACTTCTTTTAAATTCATTTAAGTCGTTTAAGGAACTTGTTTACCTTATGTTTAAAATTATAGGTATGCGTGTTTGGTTTCCCTTTTCATCCAAAAAATCTACTGCTGAAATTCTTCCCCGAAGGATTTCCACAAATACCGAGCATGCGCTGCCCGCTTCCAGGAGTGGGCAGACCTTTACCAGATCATCGGATGACCGAGTGGGAACTGGGAGGAATGCCTTTCGAACCGTGACCGCCCAACAAAATCTTCAAAAGTTTAATGACTTTCAAAAACGGCTCAGAAGTACATGGGTTGGGTACCTAATTTTTTCCTTGGATAAAACAGAATCGAATGCCTACTTACCTATTAACTATCTTTATAATAAGTATTCGATTCAGTTTATGTACCTACTTATTCTTCTTTAAGTTTAAGATCCGATGTAAAAGGTTCTTGCCTTTTACTAGCATTCTGCCTATTTTGAGCAGTAATCTACCTACATATAATGTGTTTATTTAGGCAATCCGATAATTTATCACTTGTCCTGAGTATAAAAAAATCTGAAAACTAAACATATCAGCAAGTGATGGGATGTTTATCAAAACAAAGGGAAAGTGGTCGGTTACAAAAAAATTATGCTAGCTCACACGCTACATCCATCGTCGTAGGCCTTTCAATTCCATCGAAAAGACATCACTATAAGTAATACGAATAATACCTGTACCTCTAGTAGGAAAAACTTTCGAGTTCGTTTCGTTGCGTATTCAAAGTGTCATCGAAAAATTTTGTATGAAAAATTAAACAGCGCCCCCTAGGGCGGCTATAATATAGGGGGCGCTGTTTAATTTTTCATACAAAATTTTTCGATGACACTTTGAATACGCAACGAAACGAACTCGAAAGTTTTTCCTACTAGAGGTACTGATTCTATTCTATTTCTATTTCTATACCGACCGACTTTTCTACACTAATATTTATTATTTTGTTTGTTTTTTTGAACGTCTTAATCTCAGAAACTACTGTTCCTATTTGAAAAAGTATTTTTCTGTTGATAGCCCATTTATCGAGGAAGGCTTTAGGCTACTAACATCACCCAACAGCTATTGGCCACATATTGGGTGTGAGCGGAGCAGTAAAGAAACATGTTGCAAAAACGGGAAATATTATTCAAACTATTTTCACGCGTATGAAGTCGCGCATAAGTAGGTACTTACTCGGAGAATTTTGCGTTTTCAATTCAGTATTTAATTTTTTTATCCATGACGAGTATAACTCTTAGCCTTCATTTCACCTGATGGATTAGGCCGAAGGTGCGAGTTTAACCCGGAATCCTCAACCACAGAGCTTTATATTTTGGATATGAGGGTAAGACGAAAAAAATGCTGAACAGGTCTTTTGGTTTGGTTGGTTTTTAAATTAACGAATGATTCATTCAAAGTTTTTTAATTTCAGAGGAAAAATAATTATAATTTCTCACAGCTACTTTGACTGAAATGCTTTAAATGTAGATAGGTCAAGGCTTTTTAGGGAGTTCTCATAGTATAATGTAGATGTTACAGTCAAAACTCATAATCGGCCAAAACCACTTTTGACTGATCCACTTTTAAATCAGTCAAAAAAGGTTTCGCCTAATTTAAAACTTTATCAATCATTCAAAATTCATATTAATATAAAGTTATGATTAGTGAAAATTACTAACTATGTAGTAAATTATCAAAAATGTGTTAAAACATGTGCATACAAAATGATACACCTACCCACCCTATCATTCATCTATTTCTATGACTACATTAATGTTCTTTATAATTTTTTTCGTATTTTTAAGAAATCTAGGTTTTTGTCAGGTAAAATATTTATAGAATAAGATATCATTTAGGTAATACTTATTTTAATAATTATGTATAATCTTTATTTCTATACTAATAATAAAAAGAGGAATTAATCTGTATCTTACAGTGGACATTCGATTCTCTTGCCAATGACAGCAGAGGTGCGCCCGCGGCGGCAACTTTCGTTAGGTCATAGGTGAGAACGTATCAGACGGTTAGGTAACACGATTGCCGACAATAAACGGCGAGAAATGAAATAACTAGCCGTTTATTTGATAGCCATGTCTAAATCAAACTTGGCTCGTATTTGTTTTGAAAAAACAATGAAATTACCTGCATAGTAAATGGTAGATTGCAAAACTTCATGGTTGTGTTCATGTTGTGTTCTTCTTTAAATAACAACATAACCGATTAATAATATCAATTAAATATTACTTAAATTATTAGTAGGTATAATACTATCAAGCTAAGTAATTGGATACTTAAGTAGTTGAGTAAGTACCTGCATTTTTCCACTACACAACATTTTCAGTTACCTAGATACCTACATACTTTAAAATTTTCAATTTAACTCAGTTTGTGAACATGTTAGTGACGTCAAAAGATCCTGTAGGTAACCTTAGAATATTTTGTGCCTTAGATTAATTATTTATCTATTAATCTATGCCTGTAACATTTAGCAAACGTTTATAAAAAGTAGGTACCTATGCCAATTAATTAAAAATTACATAAAGTAACTATAACAGCTACCGACAACATATTAAGGTACTTGATGCAAATAAGGCCTACCTAACTTTAAATGCTTATATTTTAATAAATATTAACGCCAATCAACAAAAACAAAGTTAATTAACTTCTTCCATCCTTTAACTTAAGCAATATTACAAAAAATAACACAATTTTTAACTAAATCTCTTCAAAATAAGCAAATTACGAAACCACTGATTTTGGCTTTAATAAATCACCTACACGGAATAAGGCCTATATGATTCAAATGCCTCTACTTAGACCTTAAAATTGAGATTGTATTAAACAAAATGTGGTCTTATATCATTAAACACGTCGATTTGTTTGCGTTATTAAAATTTTACATAACTAGTAAACAGAAATATACTGTATATCTCTAGATAAACTTAAATTCCACTTATTAAGAATCCCAACTATATAATATTATAAATGCGAAAGTAACTCTGTCTGTCTGT